ACTCTTACTTTCCCATAATTAGAAAGTCTTTGTGAATTCGGTTAAAGCTTCACGCAATTTTTTGTCAGTTGCTTCAGAAATAACGCCTTCTTTCCTAATGGCTTCCAAAACATCGGGATAATTGGATACCAAGTATGGAATGCACGCAGACTCAAATTCTGTAACTCGTTTTGGTTCTATCTTATCTAAAAATCCATTAACACCAGCAAATACTATAGGCACTTGGTATTCTATGGGAACTGGCTTGTATTGAGGTTGCTGAACAAAGCGAAACAGAATGGTAAAAAGTTCAACATTATTAATAGGGGGAATTGCTTTTAAATGATCACGATGAAGATAAATTATAAATAACCTTTAGAAGTTCGGTTAACCTTTCACCACGGTTCAGCAAGAAACGTGTTGCAGCATCCAAATCAGAACCAAATTGCGCGAACTACGTAGAGAAATAGGATTTAACAATATATATATATATATAAATCTGGTGAACACAACTCAATAGAAACTTACCGCGGCAACTTCACGATATTGAGCCAAGAAAAGTTTGAGTGATCCGGCGACTTGCTTCATGGCCTTTGTTTGAGCCGAACTACCCACTCGACTAACCTGAATTACATGTTAAACGTCAGAATTTTGTACACCATAGAAAATCCAGAGAAAAGGCCTGGTGATATACATACAGATAGACCGACGTTGATGGCAGGTCGTACACTAAAGAAAATGATAGTTTCCAATTAATATTAATAATATGTTGAGCCGGTACACGCTAGTAAGAATAATACAAACCCTTTGAAGAATAATTCAGATTCTAAGAATATTTGTCCATCAGTAATAGAGATGACATTGGTAGGAATGTAAGCGGACACATCACCACCCTGGGTTTCAATGATAGGTAGTGCGGTCAGAGAGCCAGCACCAAATTTCTCATTTAACTTAGCAGCACGTTCTAATAGTCGAGAGTGAAGATAGAAAACATCACCGGGGTAAGCTTCACGACCTGGAGGACGTCGAAGTAATAGTGACATTTGACGGTAGGCGACGGCTTGTTTTGACAAATCATCATAGATAATTAAAGCATGCTTTTTGTTATCTCTGAACCATTCGCTGATCGCACAGCCGGTGAATGGTGCCAAATATTGAAGTGGAGCAGCTTCAGAAGCAGTGGCGGCAACTACCACGGAATATTTCATTGCATCTGCAAACAGTGATAATTGCTTACACGTAAGAATCGTAATTCTTGTTAGAAGTCTGTAGATTAGTGAATTTTACCATTTTCCTCCAAAGTTTGAACCAATTGCGCAACAGTGGAACGTTTCTGACCAACGGCCACATATACACAATACAACTTCTTGCTTTCATCGTTGCCATCATTCCATCGTTTTTGATTTAAGATAGTGTCAAGTGCGATAGCAGTTTTCCCAGTTTGACGATCACCAATGATTAACTCTCGTTGACCACGACCGATAGGCACCATGGCGTCAACAGACTTGATACCAGTCAACATAGGTTCATGAACAGAACGACGAGGCAAAATGCCAGGAGCTTTCACTTGGACACGCTTTCGTTCTTGACCTTGCACTGGCCCTTTACCATCGATCGGATTGCCAAGAGCATCAACCACACGACCCAATAGGTTTGGTCCAACTGGTACATCTACAATTTGTCCTGTGCGCTTGACTGTATCGCCTTCCTTGATAAGTCTGTCGTTACCGAACACGACAATACCCACATTGTCGGGTTCCAAGTTGAGAGCCATACCCTATGGTTAATTAATTAAATCAATCGACAAAATAGAACGTCCAATAACTTATTTATTGAATGGCATGTTTAGATCACATATTTTCGTTTATTAAATATCATGCCTTGAGACCACTTGAGAATTCCACCATTTCTTCGGCCTGGATATTTTTGAGACCATACACACGAGCAATACCGTCACCAATGGACAACACGCGACCAGTTTCCTGAACGTCACCGCCGGTGTTAATTCCAAGTATGCGTTCTTCCAAAATGGATGATACTTCAGACGTGGCTTATATTTTTAAGAAAAAAATTACATGTTATTAACCAATTAGCGTACCCATCAAACACATTTTCCGAATTTTCGATAATTCGGGTCTTCTAATTTGTAAATTTTTGTACTCATAGATACCTACTTGGCTTAGCGGATGCATATCCTCGAGCAGCGAGATTTACCGTTGCACCGCTATTAGTGTGAACCTGTAGTTATATAATTTCCAGTGATTTGCAAGCGTGAATTGAAATTCATATTTAACACTAGGCAAAGGCCTTCCCTACTTTTCCCTTTAATATGCCATTAAGATTTTCTATCTAATAAAATCTTGGCACTGCCTCCCTCTATAACTTTCAGCACCAAACTCCACGAGTGTAACTCCCCCAAAACTTGAGTTTTATATAATGAGATAACAACGTATGAACACATACAGCAGGTATTGCCCGACGGGCTATATTGGCGACCAAGGGTGAAGCAGCGCGCACAACATTCCTCAACATTGTTATTTATATGGTTCGTTAAAAAAAGAGAAAGAAAGAGTAAGATCGAAATTTTACACAAAAAAAAAAAGTTTTCAGATGATTGTAACATTGCGATCTCGATCTTGAATATGATTGGATGAATCTCCAGCATGCGTGGGCTTTTATAGCAAGACCTTCAGTAGAAGAATTCCGCATTAGCAGATCTTTCATGTATGCGACACATAGATTCAACCTTTTTTAGTCGATTCCAGCATAACAGGTATAACATACACGATACTTCGAAAAGAGAGTGATATAGAATAGTCGTAAATTGCAAATTGCATCAATGCAAAACCAATCCAAAGATTTAGAGATCCGAAATACTGGTTACCCTGTTATCGACCAATCAAAAATTATGATAAAAAAAAACCACATTTTTGTGCACACTGAAAGATGATGATATCAAACGTTTTTCTCAGAACGAGGATAATTGGCGTAAAAGGTCGAACGTTTTCCAATAGATATAGGGAGATTACACCAAAATATTTCTATAATACATTGGATTCAAGCGGTAAAAATGACACATTTCATTCACAGAGATTTGCTAAAGAACGACTGTCAAATAATCAATCGTGGAATCGTAGAAATAAGGAAGAAATACCTATTGAAGAAAATTCGAAAGGTTACGAGTCAAGGACAGAATGGAGAACAAACGATGATTTTCAAGAAAAGGGCATTTATGACAACAGCAGAATAAGAAATCGAAGTTGGAATGAAAACCGTGATTATTTAAGAAACGATGATAATAAATATTCAACATCAAATTGGAAAGAAAGTTATCAAAGAAAAGATGATCGCGACTATGATAATGATAGTAACGATAAAGATCTCGAACCAGCCGATAAGGACTCGATCAGAATAATGAACTCCGATTTTGGTGACGTGGGTGACACATTACCGCAAAAAGTAAAGAGGAAGAAGAAAGAAAAACCACCACCATCACCAAGCATCAGTGTTCCGGGTTTTGTGAGAATTTCGGGAGCCAGACAGAACATGGTCGTTTACTTTGAAGAATTGAGACGCGACAGTTCAAAACGAAACAAATTTCGATCATTATTAATTCATGGATACAAACACGTTCAGAATATGATTAAACAGGGAATTCCAATCAAGAGCATTGGTATCACCACGGCAGAAGGTATAAAATCGCTTGAAAATCTTGTAGGTGGGTCTCGAGAGGTCTTCAATAATAAGGAAAAATTTCCGGCAGAGCGTTATTATGTAGCCGACTTGGAATGGACACGTAAGATTCTGGGTAGTGATGCCCGCGTTGATGCTCGGGAGATATGGGCGGAATTACCATTTCCAGAGATTCAATTTCCGTCGAGTATAAAAAAGCTGTTGGTGTTGGATCATATTGCGGATCCAGTGAACATGGGAATGCTGATACGTTCTGCCAAAGCTTTACGTTGGGACGCTAGTTACCTGATCTCCGGTACAGTTGATTTATACAATGATAAAGTCATTCGAACGTCCCGATGTGAGTCGGTAATGTGGCCATCGAAGGCCGGATTTTGGCATGATGCCTACGCATTTGCGGAGGAACACGGTTTAACCTTTGTAATGGCCGAAACGCTGCCTCGAGACATAGTGCCGGAAAAAGGGTCAACGGAAGTTTGTTTTTGGGATCCAATGACAAAAGAGGTAGTTAACGAAATACCATCGCGCATAGCACTTGTACTCGGCAGTAAGCTACATGGAGTTACATACAGAGATGTGAGAAGCGGCATCTTGCGCGTTTCAATTCCAATGCTTAACAACGTAAGTTCATTAAACGTCGGGATGGCAGGCAACATTCTCATGCACGAACTCAATCGCCTAATGGACTCCACGCAAATCATTGATGAGACAAATAAACAAAATAATAATTAATTTTATTAAGGGGAGGAGGTTAAAAGTTACGGGTCATTGGTGCATAGTCATCTCTGTAGAGTCAATAAGCCAGATCGCCTATAATAAAACTGAATGTGGAGAAAAGCGTTGTGAACCAAACTTCACGACATCAATAAGTGTATCTATTACACCGCGTCTATTTCAAATTCACGATATATATATATTTGCATTCACTTCATAGGATCAGTTGTTCGAGTAATCACTTAAAAAATGATAACCAACAAATTTACTATATTTTACAAATTCAGGAAATGATATTAAAAAAAAAAAAACAAAGAAAATGTTATGAACTGGTGACCAACTGACCCAAATTATTATTTATCATTGTTTTCTGTCGAAAAAAGAAAAGGTATGGTGTGTCATATCGATAGTCTACACCCTCGGAAATGATGTTTCTTAATGAGGTGGTATTGACAAAGTTATCATTGAAATACCACCATGTGTCATCTCCTACACATTCAATGTGTGATTTTAATTGTGAGTAAAGTTACAAAGTTCTGCCGAAGATTTAGAGTTTGATTGTTACCTTCATCCTTGGCATACGTATAGTAATGACCATACTCCGCTGACGAACCGGAATGTATAACGATCGCTGACAAGTCGTACTCAGCCCACTCCATTTTTATATCGCCTTTACCACTTATTCTTGTATTGCCATTAATTTCCTTGTATATCTTGTCATTATCTATTGAGTCACCATTCGTAACACCATTCGTGATGCCATTTGAATTCCCGTTAACGCCATTCCTTTTCCCGCCGATGTCACCATTAACATATTGATTTATTTTATGTTTTGTACCATTTGAATCCACCTTTGAAGTGCGTCTATCACTTTTCGCAATGTATGATAATGACAAGGTTTCTTGGATTGTGACCTGTGACAAAGAAATCTCTTTATTAGTCACCGTTCGAATTCAATAAAACAAATTTTATGAGATCTTACGTGAGTCATGATCTTAATCCTCTTTGCATATCTTTTGTTATACTCGAATCGATTAAGCGACAATATCAAGTACTTTGGAGGAACCATTATTCGTGTAGTCTGGAGATTGTTAAAAAAGAATCAGATTAATTAATTAAATCACGTCTTTCGATAAAACCTGAAACATGGGTGATACGTACTTTCAATGCATCACACAAACCACGACATTTCTCACAATGGTATTGATTGTCATCATTTAATTTTTCCGGCGAAAAGAATTCGGACAACAGATCAGAGAAGGAAAGATTTTTTGCTAAAGAAAGGCAAATAAATATGATTAGGACTGTCGGTCGATTGTTGCGTACAATTAAGATTTTACTTATTCCTCGAAAAAAAAAAAAGAGAATTAATTGTACATGAACTTTCAATCTGAAGAGACAGTGTTAAGTCATGAAACTCCTCCTAGAAAAATACGCGTGTGTGGTGAATGGAAAATTCAAAGATCGTATGTTTAATTTAATAGAATCAAACCTTAGTTTTTGATTCAGTCCCGCACGATAAGCACTCAATTGTATTAACCAAAACACCACCAAAAGGAGAAATCGGTATTTCGTTGTCATCTAATTGATCGAACGAAATGTGATTATTCGGATCATCAAGTCGCTGCCTTTTGTTGGATGTCAATTGCTTTGATTCTTCTTCAATTTGACTAAACAGAATTCTAAGATACATAGTTAATCATTATGAGGCAATATTTACTTGAGTCACAGAATTAATTTATATATAGGTAAGTAACTTGCTTCAGAAATTCATGACAATCCTGCTGACGACCGTTGTTGAGCCATTTAGGTAAAGTCTGACAATACATAAAAAGATATATGAATAATTTTTATAAAGAAAATAAGAATTTTTGCAAATCTCCTTTATCAAACATCCAACCTCTAATAAAGCTGACGGTGAGATGTATGACTTATCAGATTCTAAAGACTGAAAACATTGCTGAAGTTGATATAACGTAGACGTCCTGTTTCTATGACTAATGTCAATGGTATCAATTAGACAGAGGTTATTCGCGAGATCGAATTGCAATTAGCTTCTGAAATATACCTTGATGTTCGTAATATGCGACGTCGGAACTCTGCTGTATTAAATAACGCCTGTGTTCACAAAAACCGAATGGTAAGACTTTAGATGATCCACAGCGAAAAAAATGAATGTGAAGAGAAAGTCCCACCTGAAGTACACTATTCATAAAACAAGTATTCCCCAAATTCTGTAATCCAACCTTTTTTTTCGGTTTAGAATATCGAGGTGTCGTCGTCTTGGATACATCTTATTTATGAATGTAATTAATAACTTAATTCCTTATGATTAACTTTTATCACGTGATTTACCTGCAGAAAACATTTTATTCCACGCATTTTTTTGTAGAATGCTCATAATTTCTTTCTGTTCAACAGTCGGCTAAATCGTAATAATAATTCGATTTAGTGATATTTATCCTGACATTACGTTTTGCGCAAGGAATAAAGCCATACCAATTTCAAACTTTCTAATTTTTGCGAGATAATATCATATTGAGCGATATAACCTGGAAATCGATACATAAGGCATTGTACAAGGGTAGAGAATTCTAACAAGATCTCCCTTTGGTCATCCTGTAATTTGAATATATGATGTTATAATTATTTACTTTTAACTTTAATTGAAAGTAATTTAACAAGGACATACCTCGGAAGAAATGATGTCCAATACATCTGGAACCATTGTAAGGATTGTGCGAAATACATCATACCCTCGACATCCTAACAGCATGTATTTAAGAATTAATAATGCGTTTTCACGCGACTTGCGGTTGTACAGGTATTTGAATACTGAGAGAAAACAGAGTTTAATGTTAACCACGTACACTCGATAAATCTGTTAAACAATTTTAGCACACACGCTTACATATAGGGACGCATTTGTTCGTGATACTTGTTAGCATATCATGATTAATTTTTCCCAATGCGTTCATTAACTCGATAATCCAATTCCCTATTATATTAAAAATGTGTCAAAGATCGCGATCAATCTCGTGAAAATCACAAATTCCGTTGAAAATAACCTATATTTTTCGAGTCTGGGTTCTTCATCATCTCGACCATGCGTTGAATGCCTATCTCTAACCGCGAAATATCTTCATGAGGCATTTGCTGGAGGTACGGTAGAATGACTAACAGATTTTCAGTGTGAACGTTCAATAATAATGCTTTCAAGATATTGATTATTATGCTTACCTATCTTATTTTCTATCGGTATTTTACCGATCAAAACTGCTATCGCATTGGAACATTGTGAACTTGCAGTGAGCTTCTCGAAAATTTCGCGAATAGAAAAAGATATGGTCTCTGTGCTAATCGAAGTGTACATAAGTATAACCTAAGAGCTTTCATAGTCATGAAAAGCAGAAATCTTTCCGAACCAAACCTTTCATTCCATAACATTTCAATCAAGGTCACTGATTTCTTAACAAAATCAACTTCCATTGACTCATTGGTTAAGTTAGCCAAGCCGTTGATAAGCATCTGTTTAAAGGTATCTGTTAATTAACTAATAGGCTAAATACATAATGTCGCCTTGTAGAACGGAGTTCACTTCGAGCGCACCTGTATTACGACATTTCTTTCCGTAGGAATTAATCTGGGCAGATCATTGAATATAAACACAAATAAGATTTGCCAATCATGTCGCCCTTTACACAGGAAGAAGTATTTCTCGGTGAGCACTTTTAGTAATTGAAAATCTCTTTCAACGGTTTCTTTGTCCAAAGCATATATCGATATGTCTGAATGAAGTTGATGAATTATAATACTATTTTGCGAAAAAAACAATGACGTAAAACTGCATTAATTTTTACCGTTTTTGTGTTTGATCACTTTCACTACTGCCCTTAAATTTTTATAGATAGACTAGAGGCGAAAAGACATGTATGTAAATTATATTTATTTGTTTCGAAATACTGCGTATTGTTAATTATAAAATAGTTCCATACACTTATCGCATGTGTAAGACGATTTTCCAAGGTCTCCGAATTAAAATGATCTAGATATATTCTTTCCTGGCACCGGGCTATCCAAGCAAGAATGTAATCTCCGATCTCAGCGTGCAAAGGGGTGATTTGCTTCAAATGATATAAAAAATGAGTAACCGTAAAACGCGCCCTCCATATACATATACAACGCAGGTACCTCTTTTATAAGATCATATGAAAAATCGCAGAGTAGTTTCCAATCTTCGTTTGGCATATTATAAGGTGTAGCTGTAATCTTTTCCACAAGCTTTTTTTTCACATGTTCGTTGTGTGCCGAAGTCAAAAGTCCCTCAAGTATTTTGTCCATCTTAACGAAAAGAACGCTACAGGTCTGATGTATATCTACGTAAACACGACTGTGCTGTGCTGTGAATCTCTTCACGTATACGCGCGTTTTTTTTGCTTGCCTACTATAAGGTAGCTTTTTTCTCGAAGTAGTGAATGATGTTTCTAAATATAGGTCTATGTTTCATCGTAAACGTGAGGCATTACGTAATTAGAGATTGATGAAGTTTATCTTTTTTTATACAGGATATGCTAATGTATTTGCCAGAATTATGAATTCATAATATATCAATTTCTTTTTTTAAACCTGTTTATTGAATTTGCAGTACCAGATTTCATGATAAAACAAATAATTGGATTTTTCAAAATTACAAAGTTACCATATAAATTTCATTCAAGTCAATATCAATCGATTTTTATGGTCATTTTTTAAATTAGAACTTTATTATAAAAACATGGATTTTGATTTCAGTTACTATTATTATTATCTTGTATAAAAAATTTTATAATAAATAAAAAAAATAGAAATAATTAATAATATTTAAAAAATTTTTTTGTTAATAAAACAAAAAAAAATCCATATATAATATAATTTAAAAAACTTTTTAAATTATATATCATATTTATAATAAAAAAAAATTTTTTTTAACTAGTGAGACCTTGCTCAATATATTTTATTTAGTTTATATATGTATTTCTTATTACAAGATTTATTATCTATAAACTATTCTAAATACATATTGTACTATATCAAATTACTTTATATTGACTTGTTGCTATTGATTTATCTTTTAACATATGTCAAGATTAACATGCCAAAGCTTCATTAGTATTGTTATTATATGAATAATGAAAATTGAATTTAATTATATTGTTTTCCTGATTTAATCAGTTCTCTATTAATTTATTCTGCAATTTTCTTGCTTCCTTAGTTCTTTTCATTGATAATCTATATTGTATTGTGTCTTTGAGTTGGTATTGACTTGTTGTTCTCTTCTTTTTTTATTTTTTTCTTTCTGATTATATTTTCTTTTTCTTTCTATTATTAAAATTTAATATACGTATCTGTAATTTCAAAGTTTACAAAGTTCTTTTGTTATACGGTTTGTAATTACTTTTAATATGTCTTTGACCTTACTTCTATTAATTATTTTATCAAGTTAATTAGATATTTTCATATATGCCTTTAGTTATATATCTAATGATTCTTTATAAGTCATTTATAATATGTACAAGTTGTTCTCTTCAATTTCTTCTTCTCTTTTATTTCTTTATTCTATTGAATAATTTTTTCTTTAGTACTTAATATATATAATTATGATCTTGTCTTTATAATGTTTATTAAAGATATTTTTTGTAGTTTTTCATTTTTTATACTATAAGTATATTTTGTCTTTATATATATAAATCAGGTCTTCTTTTATTTAGTTTACTTTTAATGGAAAACTTATTATTAAGCAATTTGTATCTGAATACTCTATTGTTGTAATTTTGTTGATTAGTATAAAAACTTGTGATTTTTAATAAAAACAGACTTGCTCATGTTCTTTTTCAGTCTACTATATTCTCCTCTTCTGTTTTAAGTTATGCTTTGTATTTCTTTTGTATAGCCTAGATTATACATGTGGCTAAAATTATTTTACAATTGACTCAATTATTTGAAATTTTTATAGTTGTAAAAGTCTTAAAGAAACTGTTAATAATTTCAAAAGACAGTGAACTTTAGTGTTTCTAATTTTAAATGCCAACAGAAGTTGGGACTTTATT